GGTTGACAAGACTACACCATATTAAATTGTTACATATGTGGTTGACAAGACTACACCATATTAAATTGTTACATATGTGGTTGACAAGACTACACCATATTAAATTGTTACATATGTGGTTGACAAGACTACACCATATTAAATTGTTACATATGTGGTTGACAAGACTACACCATATTAAATTGTTATATATGCAATTGATAAAAATACAATCTAATAAATTGTTATATATGTAGTTGTTTAAACTACAACATATTGTTATATTTTAAAAACACCATATTAAATTAATATAGAGATGTGTGATACTTTTACAACATATTAAATGTGCATAAAAAGAGAGAAAAACTGGTTCGAAGTATTACAATCGCATTGCTTCAGAACACAGAGAAACAGTGTGAGACAATGGATCATTGTATAACAGAAAGTTTAACCAAAATAATATGACGTCACATTACAAACTGTAAAAAAAAAAATACCAATATGGCAAATGTTAAAATAATTTTAGAACCACCCCTCAACTGACTGGTTCCAAATACTACATTTTCAGAAGAAAATATTTAAGTAAAATATTTTTTTTTAAATTTTTGTTAATGGGAATGCCAAGTAGTCAATCAAGTCTATTATTAGAACACCCTTGCAGCTATTAATAATCTAATTAACTTTGATTTGCACCTTGCCACCATGAACAATGACGTCATATCTCATCTATCTACCACCACGCCCCACCACCAAATAGTTGGCCATGTGTCACATCATGTCGTCAAGAAGTTGATGGTATAAAAGTCCCGTCCCGTGCAATGTGTCTTCGTGCCTTCTTTCTCTCCACCAAACCACGTCCACTACAGTCCGCTGGCGGACCTGTGATTTCTTCAAACTTGAATCTTTCAGATCATTCCACGTTATTTGTTATTTTATTTTATTGATCTGCCGGTCGGAAAACAAAGCAGCACATCTTTTGCTACTCGTACGTTTATTGGACATCAGGGAAACAGATTCAAGTGCAAATAAACCATCACTAAGATCCTACTCCATCCCTGCGACCACCACTGAGGTCTTCCCCATCTCTGTGACCATCACTGAGACCATCTCTGACACCATCACTGAGATCTTCACTGAGAAATTTTTAACCCCTTTGTTACATACAACTATCAGCCGGTAAGATTCAATGTTGAAACAAGAATTATCTTTAAAAACAACATATTATTTGTATGTCAGTGATACTAACCCATCGTCTCAATGGACATAATTTGTGTGTGTGTGTGTGTGTGAGGGGGGGTAGTTACAGGTTTATTTGGTGCTAATAGGGGTATATATCCTACGTCATCTTATTGTTTTGACATGAAGAGATCAATGACATTAAATCACCAGAATCGGCCTAGCCTCGATAACCTGAATCGTGGGCCTAGAGCCTCCATCCCCTAGATCGTGGGCATAGCCTCGATCACCTGAATCGTGGGCCTAGAGCCTCCATCCCCTAGATCGTGGGCCTAGCATCGATCTCCTGAATCGTGGGCCTAGCCTCGATCACCTGAGTTCGGCGTTCAAAAAACTAGAACTGTAGTCTTGCCTGCACGAAACACAACTTATTACACTTGATATGAGTTGGAGTTCTTTGATAGAATAAACTAAATGATGTATTGCTGGTGTCGTCGGCTGTAACAGTGAACTGTCTTTAAGTTAGAATAATATCATAACATTCTCATTGGCTTCTACACATTGATGTGTTCGTTTGGAAAATAGGAAGAGAGAAAAAGAGACAGATTCAATACCAAGAATTATATGGCGTTAGCTTTAACTAAAAACTCAAGGTAAATTTTTGAAGCTTATTACAGAAAAACAAATCGTAATCATTGCAATAAATAGTTCACAAGTGAACAAAATTTTGAATTTTTTTGTATAACTAAAAATTATTTTAGGAAGTTCATCTTTAACAAAATGGCGACATGACTTTAACACAAAGAATGTAGCAGACGTGTGCACTAGACCCGGAAATACTTCCATTATGACAACTTTAATAAATTAAAAAACTTTTAGACGATTTTGTGACAAATTAATTCAAATTTTCTTTTTTTCTTTTTTTCATATAGGGCCTACAGGTTCCGCCATGACTCCACTACACATTCCCATATATGGATTAGCCGGGAAAACATCAAAATCAAGGCATGACTTTGTTAAGCTCAACGATGACCAGACATTGACGAGGCTGCTGGACAGAAATGTCTGGTCACATATGGATCATAAAATGTCTTATGAGATCTATACACTGCCATAGAATAAACTTACTCTAGAAATGAATTCACAAACATCTTACTATAGTTATGAATTCACACACATCTTACTATAGTTATGAATTCACAAATATTAACCAAAGGAAAGGAATTGATAAACAATCTTATTCTAGAAAGGGATTCCCAAATATCCTACTACAGTTATGAATCCACAAACATCTTACTATAGCTATGAATCCACAAACATCTTACTATAGCTACGAATCCACAAACATCTTACTATAGCTACGAATCCACAAACATCTTACTATAGCTACGAATCCACAAACATCTTACTATAGCTACGAATCCACAAACATCTTACTATAGCTATGAATCCACAAACATCTTACTATAGCCATGAATCCACAAACATCTTACTATAGCTATGAATCCACAAACATCTTACTATAGCCATGAATCCACAAACATCTTACTATAGCTATGAATCCACAAACATCTTACTATAGCCATGAATCCACAAACATCTTACTATAGCTATGAATCCACAAACATCTTACTATAGCCATGAATCCACAAACATCTTACTATAGCTACGAATCCACAAACATCTTACTATAGCTACGAATCCACAAACATCTTACTATAGCTACGAATCCACAAACATCTTACTATAGCTACGAATCCACAAACATCTTACTATAGCTACGAATCCACAAACATCTTACTATAGCTATGAATTCCCAATTAATATTTAACTAAAGAAATGAATTGACAAACATCTTGCTCTAGAAAAAGAAAAGAGATAAAATAGTGTCGACTAATTTGGACTTACAAACCTCCCACACTACTTGGACTTTTAGACATACAATTCTACGTCATTCTATTGTGATTCATCGCGTCAACAATAAAACCTTTTTTTTTAAACGAGTACGAGTTGTGTGTTTGTTTTTGTGTGTGATGGTACACACGTTGTGATGGTACACACGTTGTGATGGTACACACGTTGTGATGGTACACACGTTGTTATGGTACACACGTTGTGATGCTACACACTTTGTGATGGTACACACTTTGTGATGGTACACACTTTGGGATGGTACACACTGTGATGGTACAAACTTTGTGATGGTACACACTTTGTGATTTTACTCATCGGTATAGAATATACAAATAAAAAAAATAATACATAAATCATTTTAATAAAATTTAATATTTTAGAGGTCATCCATAAATATGTAATGTACATACATACAATTTTGCGAGGGCAATGAATTTGGCAAGAGCTCTACTCAAATATGTCATGTATCTACGTAAAGAGGGTTTGAGGCTAAGAATTTGGCAAGAGCTTTACTCAAATATGTCATGTGTCATGTATCTACGTAAAGAGGGTTTGAGGCTAAGAATTTGGCAAGAGCTCTACTCAAATATGTCATGTATCTACGTAAAAAAGGTTTGAAGATAAGAATTTGGCAAGAGATCCACTCTGACATGAAATGCTCACAAGCAAAACATCTAAACATAAAAAGTTTCCCAATTTACTTTCTTCAACACACCACATCATTATGGCACACCAGTACATCACATGGCACCACACTAGTACATCGCTTCATGACATGACATCAGTCCCCATCAAATCATTACGTCACATCAGTACACCACATGGCACCACACTAGTACATCACTTCATGACATGACATCAGTCCCCATCAAATAATTACGTCACATCAGTACATCACGTGGCACCACACTAGCACATCACTTCATGACATGACATCAGTCCCCATCAAATCATTACGTCACATCAGTACATCACGTGGCACCACACTAGTACATCACTTCATGACATGACATCAGTCCCCATCAAATCATTACGTCATATCAGTACATCACGTGGCACCACACTAGTACATGACTCCATGACATGACATCAGTCCCCATCAAATCATTACGTCATATCAGTACATCACATGGCACCACACTAGTACATGACTTCATGACATGACATCAGTCCCCATCAAATAATTACGTCACATCAGTACATCACATGGCACCACACTAGTACATGACTTCATGACATGACATCAGTCCCTATCAAATAATTACGTCATATCAGTACATCACATGGCACCACACTAGTACATCACTTCATGACATGACATCAGTCCCCATCAAAACATTATGTATTGAAGAGATAGCAATATGACAAAATCCAGTGATGTTGGAATGGGAAAATTTTATTGGACAAAAGCGAAACAAATAAGGAACATTTTGCTATTCATACGTTTATCGGGCAAAAGTGAGACAAATAAGGAACAATTAGCTATTGATACGTTATTGACTAAAAGAGAAACAAATTAGGAACTTTTTGTTATTCATACGTTTATTAGACATCAATGAAACTAACGAGAAACTTTTGATCAGTATTTGTTGTTTCGAAATTCATAGCTGAATGGGACTTTCTAATCCAGTGTTTCTTAACCTGGGTTCGATCGAACCCCAGGGCTTCGGTGAGTCAGGTTAAGGGGTTCGGCGGAGGTCCAAAAAAATCAGGAAAAAAAATCATATTTTATTTTCCCCATTAAGAAGGGTTAGGTGAATGCGCATATGAAACTGGTGGGCTTCTCCAAAACGGTTAAGAACCACTGTCCTAGAATCTCTTCCAATTTTCTCGCTAAGCCTTCAATTGTTTCTTACGATCTGTGTGTCTGTGGTTTGATGTGAGCGGAACTTTTCTTCAAAACTATGGCTTGTCAAGAACTATCTACGATCCACCCTGAGACAGTCAAGTCTTTCTGCTCCGGATCTGCTATCACTTGAAGGTGATGCGGTGGAGGGATATTGATTTTGACCAAGTGATTGGCAAGTTTGCAGCTTTGAAGACAAGGGAATAATTGAAGGACTGCATTCAAGCCATTTGAATGAGGTAGTAAAATAAGGTATGTTGAAGCTTGAATCAAAAGACACGACAATAAGACGTGAATGTTGTTGTTGTTTTTAATTTTATTTTTTTATTTGTATACTTTGGACTTTTCTAACAAGAATAAATCCATCGTGGAAGTCGGGGGGAGGGGGGGGCGACACCAACCCTAGCTACGCCACTGACTACGTATAAAATACCTTGCAGCGGCGACTACTCCGGTGGGGGGGGCGGGGGTGGTGGTGTTTGCGGGAATGAACCAGCTTCTTCCAGCCTGAGTTTGGGAGAGCAATAAATTTCACCACCCCCCTCCTTTTTTTTTCAGCCGGCTTTTGAATTTCTTCAAGTGTCCGAATTATTAAATTAATATGAGAAAATAAAAAATACAAATACTTAGTTTTTGTTGGCAGTGTGATCAAATGGCAAGGTCTGCAATGTCTTAGGAGAAGACGCTGGTTTCCTAGTCAGCACCAGAGCGTCACAAGTGTTGAGGCAATTGTCTTTCCATTTAGAGGAGAGACTGACTCAATATCCGGGATAGAATTCAAAGATGTCTTTCTCTTATCCTAGGTTAAGCAAAACATAATATGGTGTTACATAAATTTTAATGGCACGATTTTACTGATCCTATCATAGCATGTTTACTGCTCCAGTCAGTACGCTGAATTACTCATCCTATTTTATTTGGGTAAGAGAAAATCAAGGTTTTACCGTTCCACTTGTTGCATTGCTTTACTGACCTTAACATAATATGGTTGTACATAAATTTGAATGGCACGATTTTACTGATCCTATCATAGCATGTTTACTGCTCCAATCAGTACGCTGTTTTACTTATCCTATCAGCATACAAAGCACCATCAGGGGATCGTTTCAACAACCTCATCAGTGATAACTGAAAAAAAACACGGAGTGGCTATAGGTACCCGAGTACCTATAGCAGCAATTGGCTATTCGGACCCGGCTGGTCACGTGATGGTTTTATAATATTCGGTTGGTCACGTGACGGTTATGACGGATACTTCCTGTTGGTTAGCCTGTTAGCCATCTTAGAGCCATTACTCATTACTATCAATCGAGACATGTGCCATAACACGAAGAACAGTGTCAGTGTGACGTAAAGCTAAAAGCAAGTAAGAATACCTTTATGTTTATAATTTTATTGTATTTTTTAACTTTATGTTAAATATAGTTCTATAGGTAAACTACCACTTGAGCGTCGGCCAAGAAAAAATCCAGCACCCACGTCTTTTCAATTTTGCTCTAATAAGCCACATTCTTTGTGCACTGTAAAATAGCACTTTTTCAACAATCAAATCGATTTTTGAAACCTTATACTTATACAAGAAGACATACCTCATTAACTTCACTTAACTCTATCAAAACAATATTTAATTGATACAGCATAGATGCTGCACAAAACCAACTGCTACTTTAATAAGAACAGAGTACCAAGTCAATAGGTACTTGGGTAAAATTTTCAAAATGAATTTATAGCTTTAAGAGCTAGTTGGTTAGATAGGGCCTGAAAAATGCAATTCATTGATACTAAATTTAGGCAATCCTCCGAAGTCCGGTCCCAAATTATTTTCAGTGATTACTCCTTACTTATAAGTCTTGGGCATCATTCTGTTTTGAAAGTCATGTTTGCGTTAGTGGACGATGTTGGATGGAGGCTGTCGGCCATCAAGATGCACAAACACTCGAGCGCATTATCACTACTAATCATGTGTTACCAGGGACAACTATCGTCACGGACGCTTGGCGAAGATATCAAAACGTCGGTCAGCTCAACAATGGGATTTATGCTCACGCTGTCATTGTGCAGGCGCGTGAATATGTTGATCCAGTAGACCAGGACATTCACACATAAATTATTGAAGGACTTTGGATGCAAGCGAAACATAAACTCCGCGATCAGAGTGGTACTAGTCGCGGTCTGTTTGCCAGCTACTTGGAGCCTTCAGTGGCGCAACAGTCACAAGCAGAACGTTTCGGCTGCTATTTGCAAATGCTATGCGCCAATGACAACATTTAGTATTTACTGACTAGTTTGTAAAGTGACAGTTATTTGCAAACGCTATGACTGACATTTCTGCTGTTTTCTAACAATAGACACTGTGCATTGCAATTTTTTTCATACGAAATAATTTGGGACCGGACTTCGGAGGATTGCCCTAAATTTATGTTTGTAGGTCAATTCTAAAGAAAGATTTTTTTCGTGAATTATTTTGGGATAACTCTGTTAATTGAGACATATAGGAAAATATAAAAGTGACTAAAATATAAATTGGGCAGAGAGTTAGGAGACGATGTTAAAAAAGAGCAGTAAATTGAAGTTATTTAATGAAGAAAATCATAACAAACCATAGATATCCGTGATCGTCGTAACATTATCCAATCAGTAGTAGGTTGGAGAACTAGTGAAAAATACCAACTTAATTATAAATGGCATGCATTAAGTCCATTAATTTTTTAACACTTCAGGTTGCACCAGGACACAGTCTGGGAGCCTCTGTCCTAGTCAATTACATGCCATAATAAACACATATCTTTACATTTTCTCTTAACACCTAGCAATCATCCTAATCCCCCTTCCAATAATAAATATTAGTATCTTGATCCTTTGAATGCACTTTATATAAAGATAAATCCCGCAAGTGCATGTAAAAAATATCAAAAGACTGTATTGGAATGGCTAGTTTCACTGATTAGGTTAGGGTAAAGTCTTGCACATTCCTAATTTAGTTAAAATTAGATAAAAATTCCTAAAAAGTCTAAATTTCCTTTTGACATCACATATTGAGTGCATTTTTGCTGTAAAAGAAATGATTAAAAAATTCAAAAGAGCTATTTAGATTGATTGCTTCTTATATATTTAGATTCATCAGTCGCTATAGCATACATTTTTTTGGTTAAAATCATAGTAGTAATAATCAAGAGTTACATCTTGCAAGTTAGAATTATATTACCATTGATCTATGACAAAAAAATCTTATTTAAATTTTTA